CAGTTATTGTACATATGACAGCAATCAACCAAAACACCACAGGACAAGACAAGTATTGTACATATAATGGTAATCAACTAAACACCATAGGACAAGACAGTTATTGTACATAAGACATCAATCAAACAATCATCACAGGACAAGACAGTCATTGTACATAAGACAGCAATCAACCAAGCACCACAAGACAAGACAGTTTTGTACATATGACAGCAATCAACCAAACACAACAGGACAAGACAATTATTGTACATAAGACAGTAATTAACCAAACACCACAGGACAAGACAGTTATTGTACATATGACAGAAATCAACTTAACACCATAGGACAAGACAGTTATTGTACATATGACAGCAATCAACCAAAACACCACACGACAAGACAAGTATTATATATATAATGGTAATCAACTAAACACCATAGGACAAGACAGTTATTGTACATAAGACATCAATCAACCAATCATCACAGGACAAGACAGTTATTGTACATAAGACAGCAATCAACCAAGCACCACAAGACAAGACAGTTTTGTACATATGACAGCAATCAACCAAACACAACAGGACAAGACAATTATTGTACATAAGACAGTAATTAACCAAACACCACAGGACAAGACAGTTATTGTACATATGACAGCAGTCAACTTAACACCACAGGACAAGACAGTTATTGTACATATGACAGCAATCAACCAAACACCACAGGACAAGACAAGTATTGTACATATAATGGTTATCAACTAAACACTACAGGACCAGCTGACAATTATTGTTCATATTGTTACAAGGTACATATAACTTATCTTTTCATAGTGAATCTGAACTATACTATACTATAGAGTAATGAGCCTACTTTTACTATTCTGTGTATCTTAACTGTTTGAGCAAATAGATCACCTGCCAAAGTTCATTAATATCAGTAATCAGACAACAAACTCTGACAACTTAGTATCTATCAACATATTTTCTTAATTAGCATTACACTAGAAATCAGCTGATTGTGTTCACCGTACAAGATAGAGCAAATTATTGATTCTTTCTAAGGAAATGTCGGGTAATTGCAATTGTTTAAAGAAACAGCAACCCAACAGTATCAATTTTATTATTTTTGTTGGATGTGGTTATAAACAGAGGAGGGGTGACAAGGTATCCAATCGTCCTTGTAAAAGTTAAAACTGTTGACACAGAGATATGTCCCGCTTTTTGTAATTTTAATAGTCAAATGCAAATAATGAAATTCAAATGGCAATATTTAAACATGCAAAACATTCAAATTCTATGAACCATGACTGAAGGTGCAGGGCCAAATAACCTTAATAGAAATTAAAGAACCTTAGTGAGCCCGCTCACATACCCCACGTCCCCACATTGTCATTGGAGAAATAAAATAAGTGTAAGAAAAAAAAATTGTATCAGAAAAAAAAATTGAATCATAATTTCCTGTCAATATGCACATCTACATAGTATGTCCTTATTATCTACACAGTTTCATGAAATTCTGTTGTGTGGTTTGAGAGGAGTTGCAATGACAAAAGGTTGCAGTAGTATATTGGGCAAATAAGTTCAAAGGGGCATAACTCCTGGAAAAAAAATTGAATCGTAATTTCCTGTCGATATGCACATCTACATAGTATGTCCTTATTATCTACACAGTTTCATGAAATTCTGTTGTGTGGTTTGAGAGGAGTTGCGATGACAAAAGGTTGCAGTAGTATATTGGGCAAATAAGTTCAAAGGGGCATAACTCCTGGAAAAAAAATTGAATCGTAATTTCCTGTCGATATGCACATCTACGTTGTATGTCCTTATCATGTGAAAAGGTTTCATGAAATTCTGTTGTGTGGTTTGAGAGGAGTTGCGATGACAAAAGGTTGCAGTAGTATATTTGGCAAATAAGTTCAAAGGGGCATAACTCCTGGAAAAAAAATTGAATCGTAATTTCCTGTCGATATGCACATCTACATTGTATGTCCTTATTATCTGAAAAGGCTTCATGAAATTCTGTTGTGTGGTTTGAGAGGAGTTGCGATGACAAAAGGTTGCAGTAGTACATTAAAGTAAATAAGTTCAAAGGGGCGTAACTCCTAGAAAACAAATTGAATCGTAATTTCCTGTCGATATGCACAACTACATAGTATGTCCTTATTATCTAGAAAGGTTTCGTGAAATTCTGTTGTGTGGTTTGAGAGGAGTTGTGATGACAAGAAATAGGACTGGCGGACTGACGGACTGACGGACGGACGGGTCAAAAACATTATACCCTCCGCAACTTGTTGCGTGGGGTATAATAAGAAATGTTTATAAAACTGCATACCATTATACCATTGACTTATCATAAGTGGTTCCTTTTAAACCAACCAACCAAAAAACAAACTTTAATTGGTAATATATGCTAAAGTTTTAAAGTCAATGAACCATGATGATAGGGTGGGGCCATATTATCTCCAGAGAAATGAGACTTGCAAATGTTTATACAACTGCATACCAAATATCATTGACTTCAACATTAGTGGTTTATCTTAAACTGGTCTAATAACAAACATTAACACATATATCTATGCATTAAAGTTTCAAAGTCAATAGACCATAACTGAGTGGAAAGAGCCAAATAATCTCCATGGAAATAAGATGTGCCAATGCCAATTCAACTGCATACCAAATACCATTGACCTACCACTAGTGGTTCCCCATGAAACTGACCTAATCACAAACTATTACATTGTTGATGATGCCGCTGCTCCCGCCAGAAACATCATGCTTTAGTCTCAATATTTTAACTTTGTCGATGCGAGACAAAAACCTTTCTTTTGAATTTTCTATTTATTATCATTTAAGGTTTTATTTTCTTTTGTAACTGCTCAACATTTAAAAAAAAATAGAAAAGTACTAAATTTTAAATCCACTTTCGTTTTTTTTTTAATATTTATAAACTAGTTGAGTCTGGTGATATGAACTGGTATATATAACATTATATTACATGTAAAGGCTATATCTTATCATTTTGCTGAAGCACTGGTTTATAAGCCATAAATTAGATAAAAGAATAATAGGGTAAATGTCAGTAATCCAACAACACAACAACACAAGTTATAAATAGGCATGAATTAATATTTACATAATATTGACAGCTTCTACTAAATTGGAGAAATCATGGGAATTTGAAAGTATGGAATTTTTTTTCACCAATTGATGAGAAACAAGAGTATTTTTTTGGTGATATCTTATGATTAAATAAAAGATGTGGGTATTCACCAATGAGAATAACAAGCCCATGACAAACAAAGAGTTGCACATATTGTCAAGCTAAGTATATCCCCACTCATAATTCAAAGTATTGGAAAACAGGAAGTTGTGGCATCTGACAGATCTGAAAAATGCTCACACCTAACAATTTATCAAGTTGCTGATGAAATATGAAATCATTCTGTTTCATAGTAATGAAGAAATGTGTGAAAAGTTCATTGAACATATTGAAAATTTAAAGTGTCTGCAAACAGGAAGTATGTAACTGACAAACCTTAAAAGTATGAGTTTTGTTCATTATTGAAGGCCTTACAGTGGCCTGTGGTTGTTGATTTCTATGCCATTTGGTATCTTGTGGAGAGTTGTCTCATTGGCAATTGTACCACATCTTCTTATTTTCTTACTTAAAAGTGTTCATATGTTAGAACTTACCATTATTTAAAGCTGCTGACCAAATATGAAGTAATTCTGTTAAGAAGTACCTGAGAAATGTGTGACAGTAATAGTTGTTGGACTAACGGACAGACAAGGTGAATGCAATAGCTCCACTTTTAGAGCGGAGGTACAAAATAAACAAAAAACATCTAGGTGTCAACAGACAGGTGTCTATACAATATGTCTAGCTCTGAGTTGGCTGAAAAAGGTCAAAAGTTGTGAACAAATTAAACAGAAACAATCAAAGATCTGCCTTCAATGACATTATTCTCAAAATCACTAAACAAAAATTAAGATAAAGACAATACAATTACTGACACTTAGGTTTCAGACCTGAGATAGAAACATGAATATGTGGCATTAAGCCATTTTCAACTGATTTTTATAGTTTGTCCTTATGTTTTGCTGTAACACCACTGTCCCAGATTAGGGGGAGGGTTGAGCGCTCACAAACATGTTAACCCCGCCATATTCTTTATGTACCTGTCCCTAGTCTGGAGCCTGTAGTTCAGTGGTTGTCGTTGGTTCATGTCTGTCATATTTGCTTTTAGTAAATTGTTTTGTTATAAACTAGACCGTAAGTTTTCTCATTTGAATTGTTTCATGTTTTTCTTGTTGGGGCCTTTTATAGCCGACTATATGGTGTGGGTTTTTCTCATTGTTGAAGGCTGTACGGTTGCCTATAATTGCTTACATCCACTTCATTTTAACTTTGGTGGATAGCTGTCTTATTGGCAATCATACCAGTGACATCTATTGTTATCAATTAGTAGAACACAAAGGAAATGTCATTTCTGGTCTTTTCCCCTATCTTAGACAATATTACCCTTGAGTGTTCTAACAAACGGTGTGGTTTTTTCTCATTGTTGAAGGCTGTACGGTTGCCTTTAATCACTTACATCCACTTCATTTGAACTTTGGTGGATAATTGTCTCATTGGCAATCATACCACATCTTCTTATTTTTGTATTGTATTACTTTTAAGAAATGATATAAATATTATATAAAATTTTAGTATTTCTTGACATGATCTTTCAAAACTGTAATTGCCAATGGACATTAAACAAGCAACAATCAATCAATCAATCTGTAAAGTTTTTATATTTGCCTGTAAGAGTTATGGATACTTTTTCGCAGGTGAACTTGTAATCAGCTGTAACAAACTTGACAAACTTTCACAAAAGTTTCCATCACAATTCTCAATGTTTCAACTGACTATCAACTGGCTTCTTCAAATCAATTTGTTTTTTATATATAAAATATAATTTCAATGTTTTAAATTTGAAAATCTAGAATAAAACAAACAAAACTTACCCCTTAATTGATTTAATATTCGTCCTAAAAATGAAATTCCATTAGTAATATTAATTATATTGATCCTCAATCATTAATAGTATGAAATTGAATATGCTGCATGTTTACTCATCATAATCACTTGAAACCTGTATCAATTTATTCTTCACAGTCTAAAACTTATACAAAACTAAATATAAACTATTCATGAAGAAATCATTGAGGGTTTTAGTTACAGGAAAATGAAAAATTCACTTGAGTTTTCACTTAATGTCCAATAAGGATATCATTATGACTTTTACTAAGCAGTCATATGAAAAATCAACTTTTACTTACAGCATATTCTGTACAATAATTTTTTTCACTATAAATGAGAATGAATACCATTTAGGTGTGTCGTATTATTGCATTCATTGGAGTTTTCATCCAATTTGCAAAATTCTTATACAAATATAAGTATTAGATCTCTTGTTACTTATTCTATTTTTGTAATTTTAGGTTCTCTCCATTTCTACTGACGTAATCCAATAGATTTATAGCAATATTAGACAGATGTTAGGGATGCCACTGGATTCAAGATCAAGAGCTTCAGATGTAAACTTTCCTATAAAAATAAACAAATCTAAGGTGTTTTTCATTCGGTAGCAGAAAACTGTTCTTTACCAATTTTTCTCTTTATTAAAACACTAATAACGAAGTTATAATAACTTGAGTTACATTTATTCATTCCTTTGATTCTTTGATGATTTGAACACCTGATGGATTATAAAAAGTGGTTTACCCCCAGGGTCAATGTAATTAATATAGTGAATGATTTGTGTTTATTTAACACAGTCTACTGACAACGTTTTACAATTTCCGAGCGGGGAGATTTTTGCGAACCCCTGTCAATGTATATTTGTTCCGCCTAACAGAAGTTCCACTGGAAACTTTGTTATAAACAATGTCATAATATCTGTTCCTGTTGGAACAAATATTCTATACCATTTATTCTGTTAGGAACATTTACTGTAATATTTATTCCAGTGGAAATAATATTCCATAATATTGTTTCCATTTGGAACTTATATTATGAAGGAACTTCTATTCAGTGACACCCCCATCCCAACCCCCTGGATCCTCCATTGGGCCATTAAGGTAACAGAGGCTTTCATACCTGATGACCTTTCATACCTGGTGACCTTTTGTGATGGATCCTCTGCCAAGATTTGTTTTGATTTCCCTGTTAATTTTTACCAGATATATAATCAATGGATTTAAATAGTCCTCCCCCACAATCAATAACATCAATATTACAGAGACCATTTTAAATCCATGAAATAAAACTAACAAAAGGAATTGAAATGTTCTCAATTGTCAATTGTTGTTTAATTGTTTCATCAAATCAAACTTTAGTAATTCATTCTCAGTATAACTGATAAATACAGAATACACATTCTACCATGAAAATTAATGTACAATAACAAATTATTGTAATAAATGTATATGACATTCTATAGATGCTGTTTCTTGCTACAGTATGTTATTAATGTGTAGACCTTACCCTAATTCTGTCAGGGGGATGACACATTTTTGTGGATGTGGGAAATAAGATGGGAAGTGGGATGTGGGAAATAAGGTGGGAAGTGGGATGTGGGAAATAAGGTGGTAAGGTGGGAAGTGGGATGTGGGAAATAAGGTAGGAAGTGAGATGTGGGAAATAAGGTGGGAAGTGGGATGTGGGAAATAAGGTGGGAAATAAGGTGGGAAGTGGGATGTGGGAAATAAGGTGGGAAGTGGGATGTAGGATACAGGGAGAACAAGTGGAATCTGGAAAAAAGTAAGGAAAAGAAGTGTGAAAAATTTATTCAAAAGTGGGATTTGGGAAATGAGCACCCCTGTGTCACCCCCTCTTCTGGATGCCTCTATGGAAAATAGGTCTGTTTAAAGATAGAGATGAATGTTGTTTGATATGATCTAAACTTCCTACACATTTGACAACATCCAAATCAAAGGAACAGTTGTTGACATGTCAAAGAATTCCGTTTAGAGCTGCCTTGAACTTTCAGTGAAGTGTAAGCTATTACTCCTAATTGAAATCCTCACTGTAACTGTGAGATCAAGATTGCAGCAATTAAAACACTGTTCCTTTTATTTGGGTTTTGTCAAATGTGTAAGAATGTTAGATCATTTTTAACATCAACTAAATCAATTTGTTTGAAGTATAGTCATACAAGTCAATATAAAATTGAGAATGGAATGGGGAATATGTCAAAGAGACAACAACCCGACCAAAGAGCAGACAACAGCCGATGGCCACCAATGGGTCTTCAACGCAGCGAGAAAATCCCCCACCCGGAGGTGGTCCTCAGCTGGCCCCTAAATAAAATTGTGTACTAGTTCAATGAAAATAGACGTCAGACTAAACTACAAAACATATAAATGAACTAAAAATAAATAAAAACATACAAGACTAACAAAGGCCAGAGGCTCCTGACTTGGGACATGCACAAAAATGTGGCGGGGTTAAACATGTTTTGTGAGATCTCAAACCTCCCCCTATACCTCTAGCCAATGTAGAATAAAGAAACACATATCAATACGCACTATATAGCAATATGACTGGTTATTAAGGACATACAAGTCATTTTGTACTTCCATTACACCTATATCACCCTTAGCACTCAGTTGCTCCATTATAAATTCTCCTATCAATGCATTAAGACATGAGCACACCTTATCAGTGATGTGTTAGTAGAAGTTTTTAGCAACATGAATAAGACAGCAGAACTTATCAAGCTTCTTTTTGTTAGAACAACCAAGGGTAATACTGTCTAAGAGAGGAGGAAAAGACTAGAAACTAATTGATAACAAGTCAATATTAAGCCTCATCTGAATCTGTATTCATTCAACCTTCAATTTGACCCAGAGCTGGAGATGGGCTATGTATGTGCTAAGCAATGTTCAGTTACTAAAAAGAAAACAAATGCAAACATGCGTTAATATTGATTCACTTATAGGGTCTTTGCATCGGCACTAAACACATTTATTTAAAAACCAGTTGTTGGCATGACACGGGTTATGTTCTTCTCATATATGTTATGATGGTATGATACTAAACCCCTAACGGGAAGGATTGTGCCTGATATTCATATGATGAAGACATAATCTTTCAATCAGTTTAATTGAAGTCTGGAGCTGGCATGTCAGTTAACTGCTAGTAGTCTGTTGTTATCTATGTATTATTGTCATTTTGTTTATTTTCTTTGGTTACATCTTCTGACATCAGACTCGGACTTCTCTTGAACTGAATTTTAATGTGCGTATTGTTATGCGTTTACTTTTCTACATTGGCTAGAGGTATAGGGGGAGGGTTGAGATCTCATAAACATGTTTAACCCCGCCGCATTTTTGCGCCTGTCCCAAGTCAGGAGCCTCTAGCCTTTGTTAGTCTTGTATTATTTTTAATTTTAGTTTCTTGTGTACAATTTGGAGTTTAGTATGGCGTTCATTATCACTGAACTAGTATATATATATTTGTTTAGGGGCCAGCTGAAGGACGCCTCCGGGTGCGGGAATTTCTCGCTGCATTGAAGACCTGTTGGTGACCTTCTGCTGTTGTCTGTTCTATGGTCGGGTTGTTGTCTCTTTGACACATTCCCCATTTCCATTCTCAATTTTATTTAGTATGTAACAAATCAAATATGAGAATTTGAGTCAAATTTGTGAAGATAAATTCGACAGATCATGCCCATTTAAAGCTTGACCTGGTGCCCTGAGGCAACTTTTAAACATGACCTAGTGAACTAAGGGGGATACCATACTGGATAAACAAATCTTTTATCTTTTATGATTTCATTTTACAGTGATATCTTTTTACATAAAAAGAAGATTTGTCATGGATTTAAATTTTGTTATATCAAGGGGGATAACTCAAAAATTTTGTTTTTATATTAAGGAATGTATAGAAAATTTACCTACTTTGTTTTGTAGCAAGAAAACCAGTAAATGGACCAATATTTTCTTTTTATCATCTGACAGGACATTATAAGAACTATCTTCTCATATTCTAATTCAAAATTCTATCATTTAAGCAGTGGTCACACCTTACCGGATAGCTAGAACAGATGCCGAGCGGATGAAAAAAACGTTTTCTGTTGACAAAATTTGTATCCGTTGGGTGTCCGTTGGCATACTGACCAAATAAAACCGACGGGTAACGAATAACTAACGGACACTCACATGATATGCAACATACGAGAAACGGAAACGTACTGGACAGAACAGACGTTGAACGTACATCCAACGGACGAGTATCTCATAAAACGGAACCTAACGGAAGCGTACCGGATAAAACGGATGAAAAAGATAAGCAGAAAATTAAAAGCAATAAAAATAATACATATCTTTCAGGACTAAGCAATGATCTTGCCCACCATCTCCTTTGTCTTCTCCTTCTTCTCCTTTCGACAACTAGTAGGTTTATATTTGCAACATTATGTTCAGTCGGACCTGAATAAGAGCTGCTTGATAGTGAAGACATGCTTTTACTCAAAGATCCATCATGAGTAAGAGACATTCATGACACTCAAGAAATCTGACATATCAATAATTGTCATTTCTGAGTGACACGAAATTTTCAATTGGCATTTATTAGTTTTACATTCGGTAGGTATCCGTTATCCTTCCGTTCATGTCCGTTTTCCATCCGTTCATCATCTGTTTTATCCGTTATATGTCCAGTAGAAGTCTGTTGGCGAATTTGTCTACCAGACCTCCAAAGGATGTATAACGGACAAGTAACAGATACAAAACGGAAACGAAACGGACGAGTACCGTACAACACAGACGCCTATCGGACGTTCAACAGACACATCATCCGTTAGACGTCCGTTCAAAATTTTCCAGCGGACAGAACGGACGTCAATGGGTACAACGGACGCTAAACGGACATGAAACGGATATGGACGGACGTCTTACGGATAAGAACAGACATCTAACGGAAATGAACGGATTGAAAAAAAAAGTTATCCATTCGTCATCTGTTTGAGCGTCATCTGAGGTGTGACCGAGGCTTTAGGTTC